TATTGTAAACAAAAAAATCAACAAAAAAAATAAGACTTATCCAACTCTTCTATAAAAGAATCGTAATAAAAAAAAATAAAACTAAAAGGACAAAAGAAAATTCAACATAAAAATAAGCACAAAAAAAAAAAGGAAAACGGAAAAGAAAATAAAATGAAAAATTTCGAAATCGTTTCTTGTTTATATTGCACAACAATAATTTTTATACCTTTACCTGTCTCAACATTATGGATACATCAACCATACCCAAATAAACCATGTACATTGTATATATATATCTATATATAGTTGCAATATAACAGCAATAAAATATAACAGAAGAATAAAACATTATGAAAATAGTTCGGTATATGTAGAAAAATTATACCGTCGTCAGTAATATATGAATAATATAAAAAGCAGGACGAGAATATAATCCATTTCAACTGTCAACTCAATCTTTATTCGCTTATAATATACATATATAAAATTATTTGTGTGGTATGCGATTTTATGAAAGAATATTACGAGAAATGTACAATAAGTTACGACTTGAAAATGACTTACGTAAAATATGTATTATAAGAAAAAATAAATATGTTCGGCCATCTTTTAGAATTTTTATAAATTAAAATATTTCTTGTACTATACAAAATAATACGAACTGTCAATAAGGTATGTTCGAGGATATAGAAATGTAATTTCATAATTTAATGGGGTATTAATTCTATATATCGCCGACTGATACTGATTTTTCTTCATATCGCCAAGAGATTTCGTGTTCGTTCAATGCGGACTATCAATATTTGCAAAGTGAAGATATATGTAAGACCTGAAAGGCGACGATATCTTTTATAAATTAAACTTTTTTCATGTAAAGTATTTTTTCTTTGAAATACATTTTAGTATTATGTAAGTTGTTATTACCCAATCATAATCTATTTATGATTTTCACTCCTAAAAATATGCAATCAGCGATGAGATTTTATTTGGTTGAAATTTTATGCATTTTACAGGGTTTTAAGATATTTTATTCTCGTATGAGTAAATTAATACTTATTGTTTAGTAATAAAACGATTTCAAGTCGGAACATTTTTATTTGTACTGAAAATCGCCATCAAGAGTTCGAAAATTTGACAAATTCGTCACGTATTAGAATTAGAACATGTGTACAAAAAAAACTCCTATTTTTTTTTAAATTTAAAAGAATATTTTTAGTCATCTTTGAAAATTATGAGGTAAAATATCGACCAGTTTTTGAAAATTTTCACAAGAGCATGTTTCGAGTTTATACAATTTTAACAGGAGGGTTTGCATGAGTTTATATAATTACAAATTATATTGAAATGTGAAATAATATTTTATTAAACTACCGTCGTAATAGCATTTATGTTTACTCATTTATACCCGATATATGCATGAACAAATTTTCGTACATATACATAATATATTATTAAGCACAAAAACAGAAAAAAAATTAAAAAAAAAAATAGGAAAAACAATTATTATGTAAGTTGATGTTGATTTTGATTATGTTGCTTTATAAAATAATTTTGATGTATTTATTCTTTTATACGCATATAATAATATGTAGAACATAAAATTGAAGATTGTTGTTTACGGATGATGATACCATGCATGCACCAGAAGGATATTTTTTATATACATACATATACATATTACGTTCATATACATATATATATATTTATAAAACTATTATAATTTTATTTATTCATTTCTTTTCATTGTACTGCATGTGACTGTTATATTGCATAATATAAATGTATGCATATACATATGTACATAATTGCATAGCAATAAAATTAATGAATATACATTCGGTAACAGTAAAAGTATAGTAAAATGTTGTTGAAGAAAAAATTTTATATAGCTATGCTATACGTTCTATTCAAAAAGTAAAATAGCAAAACGAAAAACAAATCAAGGAGAAAACTGAAATTTTACACAGAAATGTTGAGAGAGCAAAAACTCAAAGTTATGATGAAAATGAAATTTAAGATTTTTAGTTAATGCTGCTCCTTCTACTCAGCTGCTGATGAGCAGCATATACATACCTAAGACATGTTTGAATTGTCATTTTTAGTATTATATCGGATCTTTCATGGAACATTGTATTTATGTAACAATCTACAATAGAATATTAACATACGAGTATTCACATACATTTGTTACATAATAATTACATTTCAACAACATTTTGAATATTGTATGTGAAACGCTGAAATGGTATATTTATTTATAATTAAATTTATATATATAAATGCAAACTTGTAACATTTTGTATAACATATAAAATATTGCACAAAAACCAAATGAATAATAAGGATTGACTAAAGGCAAGGCCGTCTTAACGTTCATATTACAAGATAAAAGTGAGAGAAAAAAGAAAGAAAAGAAATATTTTTTTTTGTGTTTTCTATTATTTTTTTCCTTGTGCTCTTTTTACGTTCAAAGTTCCATATGTTGTCTTAAATATTGTAGGTTTTATATTTATAAACATTTCTTTATTTCTTTCTCTTGTTTTAACAGCACATAGTATAGTCATACTACAGTTGTACAGTTGAACCTGACTAAATTTAGCGTTGTAGTTTGAAGAATTTAATAATAGGGCTGTCTTATTATTATATCAAAAATGTCATTAGAAATTCACTGCCCCCCAACCACTTGTTTATCACATTTTATTTGTCTTTACTAAAAACCATCATCCTGAAAAGTCGGTCATAGTTATATTTAATCTCACAATGGTTTCACAGGCACACCATAAGGCAGTTAGAAAGAATCCACCAACTAGTTTGTACTAGCTGATTCACCTATTAAGCCACAATTTCTCTATGGACCAAGGCACGCAATCATTTTCACAATAAGAAAAGTTTACCCACTATTTTCTTCAATGTCTTAATAACGAATGACGAAAAGCTGATGGGCTTCATTGACCTCGGGTTGTCAATCATTCCCCTAACCAAAGTGTTTTTCATCACCTTTTTCAGATCTTTAGCTAAAATATTACGTGTGAGAAAATTTGCCGAATGTCTTCAGTATAGGTACACATGTATATCATTCTGACAACACATATAATACAAAACGTTATTAAAATATGATTCGATCTACATATTTATTCTTACAACCAAATATGTTCATATATAAAAATAAAGAAGTAATAAAATAGTTTTTTCGCAAAATTATCGCGCATTATAATATTATAACCGTTCGGAACTAAAATCGTTCGATACTTACATATATTAGAACAATATTGTTTTATAACTAAAATAACATCATATCCATCTATTCTATTATAAATAAATATAGATCTCTAGTGTAGCTAAATACAAATACATAGTAACGTACTTTATAAGTATATAAGGAAATATTTTTGTTAACGCACAGGTTTTCTTATATAAAAGCTTAGCGACTCTGAGTCTGGAAAGATAACAATTTAAAAGAATAAAAAGAAACATAAATGAGCAATATTACGATAAATAAAACTCAAAAAAAAATTTTTTATCACAAATTTATTTAAATAGATTCGCCAATATTCTAACAACAACAATGTTAATATCTCATAAAATCTTAAATTTCTCTTAGAGAAAACAACTTAAAAAATAAAGAAAATTGAGATTTTTTTTTTAATAATGTGGAGAGTGGAGACTTAAGAATGGAGAAGAAACGGTAAACTGTTAGTTGATTTAATTTTTCTTTCTAATTTATTTTCTCGGATTTTTTATTATTTTTGTAGTATTAATATTAAAAGAGAAGTTGAAAAAATTAAAAAGCATCATTCATTCATTTACACACACATAGAAAACAATATTTATATACAAATACAATTTTGAATATATAATACATACATACATATACAATATATACATTTTAAATTTTCTCTCATTTAAAAATATTTTAGAATTTTTTTTTCTCTATAACATGTTCTCATTATTTTCATTTCTCGATTCCTCTCTTTGTCGAATAAAACAGAAATTGTTTCGAAACATATTTCCAGCAACATTTTTTTAAATATTTTCCATTTCCATCAATGTTATCAATGTTATTATCATAGTTTTCTTATGGAAAACTAAAGTTGAAATCAAATGAAAAGGTACATTTAAATATATATATACAAACATACATACACATTATGACACACACAAATAATATTAAATAATGTCAAAAACCAGCTGAGTTTCAGATTAATTTTAACATGATTTTTTTTTTGTGGAAATGCATGTTATCTTGCCATTTGAGAGAGTTACTCTCACCTCTCATATATTTTCTGATAATAGAGAAGTAAATATTATGTGTAAGAAAAAAAAGTAAACAGCTGCATATTCGCGTATACGCTCAAATAAAAACATAGCCAACAAACACCGGTATAATCATGAACAACATATCGTAAAACAAATAAATAATAACATAATAAAAAATATTTGCTTTTGGCTTGGTCTCTGTTATTATTTTTATTGTTTTGTTATTTTTATTTTCTCCTCTCTATCATCATTTTTGGAGTTCGTAATATTTATAAACTTTTCGTAGATATTATAAATATTATTATTGTATTGTATTGTAGTAGGTAGCAAGCATGTTGGTTCATACGGTTAATGGTGATTGGTACTGATGATGATGATAATGATGACACCGACAGAGTTTTCTTTTATAGATTTTTGAATATTTTTCTATTTTGAAAAATCAGTAGTCTGTCAGTCGCGTATGATAAAGGTTGTACGCGTTTTGAATTAAAAGGATTTTTTTTTTTTATAAAAACAAATAAAAGGAATATAAAATTAAAAAGAAAAATACAAAAAAAATTATAAATTATCATTTTTATCTATTAATATTATGTTATACGTTTATTAATTATCTGATAATAAATAAAAATAAATTTTTATCAATCCAACAGAAGAAAAAATATTAATGAAAATGGATAAAAATATTAGAAAAAATTTATTATTTTTCAAACGGTAAAATTTATGTTATTATTAAAGCGCTAGAAAAATAAAAAAACAAATACGAGTATAAAAAATTTTGAAATGTCGTCATTAAAATATGAAATCGGATTTTAAACATATTTTAAAATTAATAGAGGAAAAAATAAAAAAAAAATGTATTAATTTTTTTTTTTTCAAAAATAACGCAAAATTAACACATTTTTCTTTAAATATTAATAAAAGAATAATTAAAACAAGAATTGTAATAAAAAAAAATATTAATTAAAAATTATTAACAGCAAATTAAGAGAAATAAAAAACAAAAATAACGAATACAGTATATTTTTTTATTCTTTTCTCTCACCGTTATATTGGAATCCGGAAGTTATACTGCATAAATAAAATAATAATAATATGAAGAAGATGTGCTTATATTAAAATTTATTATTTATTTATTTACACATACCTATATATATAAAATAAATACATATATAATAAAATATTTTTAATTTATTGTTACTTTTCTATTTAAGTTATGCACGCTTAATTATATTTGGACATGCAAACGTGTGACTATGTTCTCTTAATTAAAAAAAAAATAAATATATAGATAAAGAATAGAACAAGTGGAGCCTATATATAACAAGAATAAGAAAATAATATGAAATGAAAATATCAGTTATAATTGGAATTTAATAAACTAAAAATATTTTCCATAATAAAATTCTAAAATTATTATTATAAGAAAAAAAACGAAAAAATAAAAGAAATACCATGTTAAATTATAATAAGACAACATAACTAACATTAACCAACAAAAAATATAATCAAGAGCAATTCAAACACACAGAAAAAAAAAAAAAAACAAAATATAAAATCATTCGAAAAAAATAAAACAAGTGAAAAAAAAAACAAGTAAGTCTTAATAAAATATCATTTATACCGTTTTGTCTGTTATTTTAAGAGAACAAACAATGTTATGACATTTTCTTTATTACATTATTTATTATCTTGTTAAAAATAAATATACAATATATATACTAAATAGAGAAAAACAAAATTACTTGCCTATATATTTATATTATTTTACATGGATTTAACAACATAATAACAAAAATAAGAATTAATAAATACATAATATACGAAATATTTTATGAAATTATCTTCATATGCCATGCTATTTCATAAATATTGACATTTTCCTTATATGCCAATCCTAGATATAATAGTAAATAGACATTGACATTAAATTATTACGCGAATACGGTATAACGTTACCAAAATTTCAAAATCACATTGATAAAACATAATAGACCTATATATAGAACAAATATAACATATAGGCATTTAATTTAGCGTGAAAAATAATAATGGTGTATAACAGAAAATAGTGAATTATAATGGCACAATAATAAAAAATATACATAACTTTTATTTAATAATTTGTTAATAATCAGTGATTTATTCATAAAATATTTATAAAAATAAATTTATAATTAAAACGTTTTCTAGTTCTAAATAAATGAAAATTAATTAAATTATTAAAGTCATACGAAATCCGAATTTGGAAGGCTAAATCGAACACGATTTTTAATTATACTTACATATATACCTATACAAAATTATGTAGGAACTTAGTATATACTAAAATATTAAACTTACTAATTGTTATAACATAAAAACCGGCATAATTTATGAAAAAAAAAATATTTTGAATTTTCAATTTCCATAATATTTTCTTCTCTTATTTATTTTGTTTTTTAATTAGATGATTTAATTAACAGATCCTAATTAGTGAAAAATATATATACTCATATAAAGTATATAAAAACATTGTCAACAACTAAATACACAAACTATTTTAAGAAGTTCATAATAAAATATACAAAAAAAAAGAATATCCTATATATTTTATTGTATATAAAAATAAAAAGAAAAATTTAAAATAAATTTTTGAAAAAATTTCTTAAATTTTTATACGCGCATACATATATATACATATATATATATATATATAGTATATATATAAAATAGTAATATACTCGGAAATATATTAAAATAATTTTGTTTTTAGAAAAACGCGCCAAAAAAGTAACAATAATTCCAAGTGTCATGTTTTTTTACAGGTTAATTGTTTTACTAATTTATGGTAAGTTAATTATGTATACATATATACATATATATATATATTTTTCATCCTTACAAATATGCCATATATAATATTGAAACGCAAGTAATATTTTGTTTGAAATTTAAAATTTTATGACAATTTCAAACATTTTGTTTGAAATGGATCTGCAATGTCGAATTATTTCAAATTTTTAAGTATTATAATTTTGAATAGTTTGGAAGGATGTGATTTTTTGAACATTAAACGAATTTCGAAATTATACGTTACATTTGAAATTCCCCTTTAATCGCCGAAAGTTGTTAGTCTAGAATTTTTTTGCTCCTTTAAAGAATATGACGTCATAAAAAGTATGAATCAATTTGGGGAAATTATTTATTAATCGTTAATAGTAATTTATCCAACATTTTTTTTCGGCAACTAATCATAAGCAAAAAGAAAAAAATTTTTAATATTTTTTTTATTCTATACCGGATATTGTTAAAGTAAGTATATTGCTAATTATTAATGGGAAAAACATTTTTTTTTTTATACTTATCTAAACCAAATGGAATTACCCTTTTCATGTCTAATTTATTTTGTTACGTAAAAGAGTTTAATTTGACCTTGATATTAAAACAAAGTAAGAATCAAAAATTTTAATGACAAATGGCTTACTAAATCAATAATAAAACTGTAAAAATTAGGTACATATTTTGGGATTAGTGTAACGACTAATGGCAATACTTGAATTTGACAATTATTTTATTTTAATGTCGAATTAGAGTAATTTCTGTATAATTTTTCAAATCGAATCTCTAAATTAACTGTTCAAAAGACTAATAACTTTTTTAGTATCTTTAGTTAGTAAATTCTAGTATCTAGTAAGTTGAGAAAATTCGGCAAAGGTTTCATACAAATTTGTACATTCATTGTAAATACGAAATAAGATACAAGAGATTTTTTTTTTTAAAATTCCCTTTAATTTTTTCGGAAATATTAAACTTAATTTCTTTGTTTTTCAACATATCCAAAACAGGTGAAATAAATACTATGAAATATACATACTTACATATATTTAGGTCCTTAAAATATAATCAAATAGAGTTGATAATAAAGTTAATTATTTACAAGTAAAAATGATAGATAAAGGCGAGAATTGAAAAGTTGACCCTCTCAACTGTGTGACATTAAACGAAAAATTAATATTTTTTAATTAATTTCAAATACTCCAGGAATATACTTAAATATTTTGATAATGGTTGCCACATTCTTGCACTTCTATTCATAAATTTTATGTATATCACATTTTCTAGGAAAATATGGAAAATTATTAGTACATTTCGTTTAAATGATGTAGAATTCTCGATTTTTCTACTATAAAACATTCATAAAAATTTGATAAAGCCATCTAAACTTAAGCATTGTATAAATGTCTTTGGAGCAGACAAAAATTAATCGGTTCAAAATGGGAACGCTTTCTGATTATTACTTGTTATTACTCTGTATTACAAGTAGAATAAAAAATTTATAATGTTCTGCGATTATAGATCGTACGAGCATAAAAATAACCACCATAAAGATTACAAAATTAATTAAAATGATCCGTACATCATTATATACTTATAAAATAACATTTACTAGATTTGAAGCTAAACCATGTGAGGTGTAAAATATTGTTTATTTGAATTTATATAAAACAATCACATACGTTAGCGTGCTCGCATTGCATTGGTTCATCTATACATTATATAACTCTAAAATCTATTTTTATAATTAATTATGATGATTATGATAATTTTTTATAGAAAGAAGGCAGCTGGACATATTTTTTTTTTCCGCAAAAATTGTTATTTTTCAAAATTTGTTTTAATAACAGTCTTCAAATATTTAAGCTTCGAAGAATTTTATGCCTTCCAAAAATAAAATTTTATAGAAAAAATCAGCAAAATAAAAATTTTTTAGATTCAATTTTGAATAATGTTTTTATGCAGAGCAAATAAAAATATTTCAGAAAATGTACAATAAAAATTTATCCAAGTATCAGAGTAAAAAAATATTGCGTTAAAAATATCTTTTTTCTCAGTAATGCTGATCCCTAAGTCGTACGTTAAAAATTTAAAGTCATCATACGTACTTATCTCTCGCAAAGAAACAATTTAAAAAGTTCACTTGTTGCAATGAGGTAAATAAAATTTTTTATGTATGAAATGAAAGAAGTTTGGTTTAAATTTGTATGACTGTCAATAATCTTGCCAAATATTTGCGTATTCAATCCTCTCAAATAATGTTTGTGATGGTGTTGAAAAGTACATAAGATTAAATATTACACGCAACAAAATTATAGCCGACAAAATTACGAGTACATACTTTTGAAAAATTGCACATTAAAATTTTTTATTAAAAATTTATAATTTCTAGTATTTGATCTTGATTATAAATTAAAAAATTCCTTACTTACAGTCTTACCTTCTTCCTTACTTACCTTGAGTCTTAATGTATAACTGACCAGCAATGGGGATATTATAGATGGGAGCGCAGGGAGGCTACAATAAGTCCAGATTGGCTGCGGTGGCTTGGGGGGTTACTCCTGTCCCACTCGGTTCGCTTGAAATCTACAATAACCGGCCAGCAAATCTAGTTTTATTCGTTAAACCGGTGCTCACCGGGGAATATAAAAAAAAAATCTTACGTTGAGTTTCAATATATCAAACACCGGTGATAATCTTTAAAACGCCAAGCCAATTACAGAAACACAAATTGAGTATTTATGAATTAACCAAAAAAATAGTTTAAGTATACATACATGTATACAAATCGCATTATAAAATTTCAATAGTGATTTCATGTGCCGCTTGAGTTTTGAGTCGAGCCCATGGAAAATCTCCTATTTTCAAATTCGGTTGTCGGCAAAAATTTTAAAAATTAAAATACCTATATTAGTGAAACGAAATCTATATTTAAAAACTACCTCACATATTTCAATTTCCCAATCGATTGTTTTTATATGAGATAAAAAAATATAAAGAACTACAGTACTATAAATTTGCATGCATTTACCTTACGTGGGTTAATTCCATTGTAGTCGTTCTAAATATTCGCACGGATCACTTAGTTCGGATCCTGTCGTTCAATGTATGGAACCACCTAGAGCGTATCCTTCTACTATCAACCAATCAACAAAACGAAAAGTTTGTGCTTGCAGCGAAATTTAATATTTAAAAAAATTTCGAAATAATTTGATTTCAAAAAGAAATGCTTAATAAAACCGGTGCACATAGGCGATTCATTGGTATACAAGTTGGCGTAATACTAATAGCCATTTACTTCTTACAAATGTCATATTACTAACTATAATGAGGTAGCCGTTTAGCCAGTTCATTTCAAAGATTTATGAACGTTTTCGTTATTTAGCTCAAATGTTAGCTCTGGTTTTCAATCTGAAAGGAAAAAACTGAATATTATGACACCGGAAGCGCGCTATTATGCGTCTGGATCTAAAAGGGATAAACTATTTGAAAATATTATCTACACCTAATCAACTTAATACTTACCTTATATAATAGAAATTTTGTTTTTACCGGTAAAAATAATTTTCCCTAAAATTGACTTAAAACCGGTTTTCATATTACACTTTAAAAGTTCGTAAAGTTTATGAATTTTGTTATACTCTAAATATTTTTTTGTTTTGTTTAAAAAAACTCATAAAATATTTTATTTACTCTGTTATAAAAACTTTCGAACTGAATTCCTTTTAAACGAAACTACGTAATATGTGTTTAATAATGTAAGAAGGATACAAGCACATATACAATGGGTAATAGAAATGCAATCAGTTAAGGATATTATTTCGAACTTCTTGTTGAGGTAGGTAACTTTTAAAATATTTAACAAGTTTTAAGTCTTCACATTTTGTCTTCTTTTTTTATGGTTTTTTTCTTCAAAAAATAAAGTTTTATATATGGAAATTATAAAAAACACCATTATTTAATATTTAAATTTATTTTATTTGTGTGTTCTTTTTTATTACAAAAAAAAAAGTGTTGAAAATTTTTTAAGGTGTGAAAAAAAAAAAATGTTGGACAATTTTTTCGTTTTTATGTACAAAAAAAAACCTCGAAACTTTTATGCGAATAGAAGATGACACCAAATGATATAGAAAAAATATCATAGACCCGCATGCTTAAGAGAAGATGTTGAAGAATACGATCAGATGATTTAAACTGAAAAACGATATAACAACCTGGCAATAAGGAAAATATCAATTTAATGTCTAAAGATAGCATTTTCTCAATTATACATTTTCACAATTCTTCAAGTATTCAAGATGCTTAGCTATCAACACTATTTGTGTATTTGTATGCAATGTCTTCGAACAATCATTTGAATTTCAATGAATTGTTGATAATTTAAATGTTATCTTTTTTGTATTCATTTTAACGTTACCATTTTATTATGATTAATACAGTGTTGTTGAGCCTGATAAATATTAATAATAATAACAATAAGATTGCCTAGATAATATATGTACATATATACTTATAAAATGTTAATTGGATACCTGTTATAAATAATGTATTGTGTTTGCATAAAATTGTGGAAGATGTGCAAATATTTAAAGAATTTTTCTTTTTTCTTTTCCATATTAAACAATGAAATGTTTAGAATTCAGAAATTTGAACAGTAACAACTGGAATTAAAATCAAGAATTTTATAAATTCTGAATAAGCACAAGAAATGTGTTATTTCTGGTTTGTGGTCTTAAATAGACACCACAAGTATCATAATGTCATTATTTTGAAAGATCTTAAATTTTTAATATTTCGAAAACCAAAATAGTTCAATAAATAACAATTAAAAATTTTTTTTTGAACTCATTGTACAGCCACAGGAAACCAATATTTGATTCATCTTTCTTAACACCAATACTCTTAAGAATTTTGACTTTTAGTTAAATTGCAATGGGACTTATAGACCAGCCTCCATAATTCTATAAATATTTACTTTGCGTTTTCTTTTGCAAAAACAAATAAAAAAAGTTG